TATATATATTATATGTTATAATATATTACATATAATAAATATTTCTGTTGCTAAGATTACTGGACATTGGGGAAACAAAAGAAAATGAAAGAAATCCCTACCCTTCAAAAATTCAATCATATTGTTTCCACATATATTCCTATTATACAGACTGAGGAAATTGAGAAAAGGAAAATATCAGATCTTTCCCTCTTATTTACTTTACAAGTCAAAGTAAGACATTTTTAGGATGGCAGAGCCACTTGCTTGATCTGAAATTATTTGTTAGGCAAGTTCTCCACTAATGTGCCTTACAGCTACAGAAAGCAGAAAAGTGGAACAACTGAACACCTTCTTTTTTTTCCTATGGCCACAGAGCTGACAGCTAAAAAATGACTACGCCAGTTCTGCCACAATACCATTTATTTCAATGGTGCTAAGCCTTCTCCATGAAATTCCTGGTAATGAATCTAACAAGGAGGTAAGTACAGTACCAACACATTATACTAACAGTCACTTTTTACCAAAATCATATGTTAGCCAGCCCTTTAATCATTTATCCTTTAGAAGCTGGTGGGATTTGTTTGGTTTTTTTTTTCTTCCTACCCTTTCCTAATCCTGTTATTGGAATCTATATATCTCTTCTATCTTCAAGTTGTTTTCAGAGAAGTCCTTCATTACAGCAGGAGACAGTGATAATCACTAGGCACCTTTTCTGTGCAGCTGGAATTCCCTCTTCATTCAATTATCTGTGAGATCTGACCCTGCCTGGCTTGTGAGGCCACTCAGATATCGAAACTTGAAGACAAGAGGTGGTATGGCCACGAGACAAAGATATAACTAAAGGCAGTGGGCAAAGCATGCCATATTATAATCCAATAAAATCATGTCTTATTTTTTAAAAATTAGTCATTATAGCCACAGGAAAATATTTTTAACCTTTTATTAATTGCATTTAAAAATAGTAGAAAAGGACTGTGCGTACATGTAGTTGTGCGCAGTAAAAAGCCCGGAGCATTAAACAATTGTAATAATAATTCCCTCAAAATTAGCCATCTTTATTCCTATGAACCAGTCTATTTGAGCATTCACAGTCTTCCTTTCCACCATAGGGTGGTTAATTAATAAACCCTAAGTTAATTGAGATTTCTGCCTTCCAATTCCACAGGGGTTTTTACTTAAACACATGCAAACTGCATTTCCATTTAGAGCAACTTTCTGTTTTTCTCTCTTTAAGTACAGTCAATTTAAATGTTCTGCATTCAAACATTAGACATTAATACTGCAGTGGTGTTCACTCACTACACATCATAGCTTGCAATGTATTCCTTATTACAAATAACCTAGGCAGAGCCAGGAGCTGAAACATACACTATTTTTACTGAATTGCTTAAGCCTACAATTTTAAAGAAGCAGAGGTCTCTGGTATCTTTCAAACAAACATTTTTCCCCTGTAAAAAATGACTATTTTTTAAAAAAGAATTTTAATGTGAAAGTTTTTTTTTTGGGTGGGGGTAATCCTTATACTATACAAATCTTTTATCACTGGAACTTACTAAAGAAAACCCCTTATGTATATCTCCAGTTATAAACAATTTGGAAGACTTGAAACAGAAGATAAATATAATAAAAAATATAAATGGTGTGAGTCAAATGAAACCTTTGAAAAAATATAGAAACATATATGTAGAATAGAAGCATCTTTTCCTCATTTTTAAGTGGGAGATGGAAGTAAAGACACAAGCTAGTGAAAACATCTATGGCAAAGAGAGGGAGCAAGTCAATCTGAAAAGCCCAGAGACGACAAAGAACCATGAGAGTCCTTTGTGCACATGTATTTGGGCCAGCAACTAAAATGTCATCTATATCCAAGAAAAGGTATAGTTTATGCATTGCCAATATCAGCTCCCACACAAACTGCCCTGTTTAAGAGCCAAAGAGGAACAGCTAATGTAAGGGTGGCATGGAATTCCCACCACCACAATATTTTAGTCCATGACCTCAAGACTGTTATATAATACTAAAAGCCAATTTGAAAAGTCTTTTTTTTTTTTTTTTTTTTTTTTTTTTTCTCCAATACAGACACCCACATCTTGCTGAGGGCTAACTGTTGGTATGTCCACAATGGCAACTAAATTAGCAAGTGATGGTAATAATCACCAGTGTCCTTTAATGGCCTTTGGTAGGTTTTTACCATGCACATGGGCACTCTGCTGGTATGAAAGGTCCTACCCCATGCTGAATGGAGTTCTCTGATAATTTTCAGCACTAAAGAATATTGTTTAAAGGCCTGTTTAAGGCCAGTTTCCAGACAGGTTTGAAAGAGACAGAAGGGAGCGAAGGGACAGCTTACTTCCGCCTTTGCCACTCTTCTCCATGCGGTACTGGTAGATGTGTAGAGTGAAGAGCATATGGGAGTTGCGGTGATCCTCCTCATCGCAGTCTCGCTGGCTGCTGCGACGTGAAGCGATGGCAGCATCAAGGAAGAAGGCAGCCTTCTCTGCCGTAGGGGCACGGAGCTCACTCTGATTCTGAAGCTGCAGTTAACACAAGAGAGAAATGACCCAGAAACTCCCACACATCAACACTACCAGACAACTTTTCACAGTTAAAGCACACTATGGATACACCGGCTTCTGATGAGACCAAAAAAGGGAAGGTGCCTGATGGAATGAGACCCTCCTGACAGCAGCAGTGGCAATACCATGTCCTCCATGATACCCCACAATTGAATCTAGGCTTTTGAAGGTTCTTACTTGGGGCACCCCTGGTGGCAGTTGTTATACATAAACTTCAGCAACTGGAAACTGTCCTATGGGCTGGACAGATGCATAAATTTATTCCTTCACTTTCACAGAATTTGAAGCTATTTATGCTTATCAATTATTCATTAGTTTCATTATTTTTACTGCTTTTTCTTTCCCCTGTGTTGCTGACTCTGGCAATCACTTTGTCTTTTCAATAACTAAAAATGAAAAAAAAAAAAATTGTGGAGGACATGTCAATCCCAAACTCAAGAGCTGGTGGAGACTGGCAGGGGTTACCCTTCAGAAAGTGTTAGAAGGGAGCAGTCCATAAATAAAACTGGGAAATAACAGGACTGAAACTTGTGTTCAGCCTCAAAGCATGTGGGGGAGCAACACAGAAGAGGTTTTTTTCTTGTCCCTTCGCACCACAAGTTTATGCACCTGCTCACAAGGCAGGGCAATCTATTAAATGGAACAAGGCAGGTAACGTACATACATTCACATTTGCTGGACCTCAATTCCAGTCACCAACCTGCTCTTATCTCTCCAAAGTGATAGACAGCATAGAAGGGCAGAAGTTATTAACTCCCCATAACGTTAGGAATGCATGCATGTTTCATGTCACCTAAGATTAGTTTGTCTGTGGAAGGGACATATGACTGTGCAATCTGATGGCATTAGTTTAGGCAGTACGCAGAGTTGGCCCACAGCCCATAGGAGAACTTGTTTTGTCTGGCATAAAAATAGTGAGAAACTCCCATCCTCAGGGTTTGTTGCCCTGCTATGCAATACAGCTAGAAGTTAAGTTTTCTTGAAGACAGTGCTCCTGTCTTCTTTTCGTGACCTTTAATCAGCCTGAGGAGGGATAAAACCAAGGCTCTGCATGGAATGGGGTGACACAGCTGAAGGCTAAGGTCTCTCTAGAAAGAGGGAGGGGGGCAGGAAGGAGTTAACAAGGGAAGCAGAAGGCAGGCCAGTCTGTGGGCTGATCTCGCTAATGTAAGCAACAAGAAAATGTGCATACTTGGAAAGACCCAATGACAGACAGTATGACATATGGTGATTATTCATTTGCTATACACGCTGCTGATTTTGCATATCTGTATGGCTATAATACCCTATCCTCCCCTCATCTGAGGATTTTGAGAATTCAGGTGTAGGACACATGACTCCAGAATGTCACTGTTTTGTAAATACACACAAAAAGGTATTTTTTTCTTGCAATTTAATTCAGTGGCTTACACTGCAGAGACACATAGACATCTCATGGAGCTACCTTTTTTCCACTGACCTAAAATAATTCATTTTGTGTATGGCTGTTCAGTCTGTGAAAATAAACAACAATAATGGGATATTTATTATTATTGCTATTGTGCTAAAATACCCAAGTAAAGAATTAAGCTCTAAGGAGAGGCTAGTTGTTACCCAGTTATGCAACATAGGTATGCTAATTTAGATCTTAACTGGCCCATCTATCACCCCAATGGGAACTGTGAAGACTCAAGTCTCCCATCTTATATTCACTAGACTGCACCCATTACTGGATACCAGAGGGTTAGATCTCTTGTGATACTGTATTTCATAAAGCACTAAAGCCAGGAGCCAAGTGAGAATGAGAACTCTAATTGTTACTTAAAAACAGGACACAATTTTGTAGTCCTCAGGTAAAATGGAAAATATGATCTAAGTATGTCCAAAAGACTGAAACCACAAAGAGATAAAACACTAAATTTATTAATTATTAATCTCATGATTCATTACTTTTGTAGATGCTTGGAGCTGGAAGTAGGGTGCACAACCCTGTAGACCTATTCCCTCCTCCCTCCATTCCCCATCCTTTGATAGGCAGCGCTCTACAGGTTCTGGATGGAAGCAGCCTTTGCCTTTAAGGTTGAAATAATGTATTCAAGCTCCATCATGCTGGTCTGCTCCCTCATCATCCACTCATACAACAATCAGATTTACTCCCTCGCAGATAGCAAAATGAAAGAATAGGCTTTTTTCCCCCTCAAACCAAGAGGAGAAAAAAAAAATAGGGCTGCTGAGACTTTCTAGTGGTTACCCAGGAAATATATGAGCCAGTTCCTTGTTCCTGCTAAACCTCCAAACCTGAGAAGAGTTTGAGTTATTCTTGGCTTGCCCAGCCCAGGAATTTATTTCTTGGCAGCAATTAATAAGTAGCAATTAATGCTTCCTACAACACTGCTAATGCAAGTGCTATAAATAATGTAGTTTATAAAGAGATAAACAGCCGTATTAATGGCCTCCAGCTATTTGTGCAATACTGTAAATATTTTAGCTTGTTGTTTTACAAAAGAGAGATCACACTTTCTTTTTTTTTTTTTTTTTTTTAAGAATGAGGTGAATTCTTGTTTGCACTGAAAGTTTTCACATTTTATTGCAAACACAAGCCCCTGCTCAACATCAGTTATACCAGAGGTACAAATATTTAGGCCAGGAGAGCAGATGGCCCTGCAGCTGCAGGTCATAAAGTTCTTGCATGTTTTAAAGTAAACACTTTCAAGTCTATAAACTTTATGCTCTGGGTAGTTCTTGAATTTGAAGCATTGCAATAGCTCAAAAAAAAGAAAAAAAAAGGTCACATTACTTGTTTCAGTGTAAAATGAACCTTGGATTCACCTGCATGCCACAAATGGGGTCTTCACAAAGGTAGACACCTGGGGACTGGCCATCTTGCAGGCTGCCTGTAGCTACTTCTGACAATAGGTCTCTCAGATTTTCTTCTTTCCCCCACACTTCCACTGCAGAAATTCGGACTGAGAAGCGGGCTCCTGTCTTCTCTTTGCGTTCATTAATCAACTTGAAGAGCCAGGAGATGGCACAAGGGATTATGCCGAGGTTTTGCATGGAATCATCCTTCCCGATCATGGTGTATGACTTCCCTGTCAGGAATGGGGAGGATGGAGAAAAGATAACAACATCACTCCCTGAACCTTCACAGCCTTCTGCCAAGAGAGATTATCCTGCACAGCCTCACGAAAACAACTTCTCCTCTACAAGGACAGTCAGCAAGGGAGAAGGATAGGCAGGCAGACAAATAGTACATAGAAAATGGAGATCATTTAAAACAAACAGATGAAATCTTGAGCTGCTTTCAAATCATTACCTCATGCATTCCCCTGACATCCCCCATTCTCCAGGCAGGGTGCTGTAGGTCCTTACCACACAACACTGCAGCCTCTGATGTGGGTGAATAGTGGGGGGAATTTAGCAGAGCAGGAGTGCTATATGTCTCTAAAAATCCCTGCTTTAGATAGTGTGAGTGTGCTATTTTTTGAATACCATTTTACTTCAAAGCACTATATTATGGTTCTTATACTGGGGTTGGAATTGACATAAACCTCGTCCCACGATCATAAAGATGTAACTTCATACAAAAAAAAAAACCCAACAAAAACCAAACAAAACAGTATATGTGGTCATTTGGTCCATAAGTGGGTCCACAACAAGAAATATTTTATCTGGCTCAAAACTTTCCCCTGGTTTGCTATTATTTGACTCTGTAATTATAACTCTTGCTTGTCTCTGCTCTAAAAGTTTGTTGATTAAGAACAGACACAGAGTACTATCTTATATTGCTTTAAGTGTCACTACATATAATGTGCTTAAGCAAGTTTTCTAAAGCTCCTAAATTTATAAGCCAAATGATAAAGGTATACATCCCTTAAGACAAGTACTTGTGGCTTCTTTACCTTGTTTCATTTCTTATGTTGAATGTATGTGGAAAAAGATCAGTGAAGAAAATATTTCTATGTATGTGTCTATGGCAAGGTCTGGGTGTGTCCATGGTTGATGTAATGGTGGTGCTGCCATTAACAAAACAACTGCAGAAACTCAACTTGTGCTCGAGCAAAGCCCTAGCTAGGCCACCTCCCTAAAGGACATGTAGCACTTGTGAGACACCATTATCTGGTATCTTTTCCATCTCATTTGCTATCTCATGTTTGGCAGGTCACAGGGGGTTAAATGTCCAAGTACTCATCCTAGTGTTATGCCTGTCTGGCCCAGAGGGGACCTGTGGTTAGCTGGACCAGTGGCTCTGCTCCACTCATAGTACCAGAGCTGGTGGCATTGCAGCATTCAACGCATTCTAGTTTTTGTTGCCTATAATTTGGGACAAGCATTGTCTGATACAGCTTGATCTTTATCCTGAATTATCTTCTTAAGTCATATGTGTACATTTGCATTTCTTTGAGACAGTAAAGAATTGAGATCATTGCACACATACAATACAACCCCCTTAATTAAAGAGACAGTATTTTCAAAATACTATTAAATAAGCACGAACAAAATATATGATTACCTAGTTATTTAAAAAGAATAGTGTCTTAATAATGATGATTCTCCTTTTTATTGTCTTTCCATGAATACTTGAAATGTTGTTGATGCATTTGCAAAGAGCAAGTTTTGATCCATTGGTAACATTCAGTTAACCATTAGAAGAGGATTTGTTGGAGGCAGAATTGGAAGAGGTTAGTAATAAGTGAATTGTCTAATCAGAGAATAGAATATAAATCAAACCATTTGAGTGCCCAGTCACAGCACTTGAATAGTGCCATCACAAACATCAAGTACTTGAGTGGATACTCACAGCCTTTACACAGCTTAATAAAAGTGGTATTTTGGCAAAAGTCTCCAATACTAAGCACATTTGTAAAACTGTAAATCACTGCTGGATCATTCATTAACAATTGAAAACTGCTAAAAATTGCTACAGTACTCAGGGGACGGAATGAAGCAACAACTCAAAGATAACTTCTGTTGCAAAGAACATGCTGTCCAACATTTAGACAATATGCAAAGTGAATAGATGTGTAAGCAAGAAGTAAAAGTGTAGTACAAGGTCATGCACAGTGTACTGCTTTCAAATACAGTTATTATCCACAGACAAATTAAAGTTTGTTTTCCCTTATCTAATGCACTACCAATCTTGGGTTAAAAACATTCACTTTGCTGCTTGAGTATGGAAATTTAACAATACCAACCAAGCTTGGCATGGCCAAAGCAGAACACACAGCCATCTGCCCCATTGACCACAGACTGGATCACCTCAGCAACAGTTCCAGCACATACTTCAGCCTGTCACAGGTATTTAAAAAAAACAAAACAAAACAAAACAAAAGAAAAACAATAATAACAATAATTATTAACAATAAGGAAAATCAATAGATCAATCAATTTTTTCATTGGAAAATGGTCATAATGTAATCAATGCTCCAGACAGCATGTTGAAGTTTCAAAAAGTCTAATCCTGCTTGTCTCATTCATGTAACATATGCTATTGATGGGAATGACATTACTTCTGCAAGCACATGAAGCAGGACTTCTGCTCTGTGTCAAGTTAAGTTTAATTTGCTAAAAGTATCGACATCCTTTGTGGGGTTAAACAAAATACACGTACTATAATGGGATATGGTTGGGGTGTTAGAACTGCCTATTTAGAAGACATTTTTTTTTTTGTTAAAAAACCCAGTCAAATACTGAGGAATGTTTACAGGCTCTATTATTCGTCCAATTATGGACTGAGTTCAATTCCACTAGCAGGTGAGTAAGGAATATAAGGGGAATAGACTCTTTGGCATAAGGTAGGTGATATTTCTTAATTTTTCTCTATATTATAATGAGTCTTCTTGGCTTTTAGCAGCAGTAGAGTCCATCCTGAAGACTGTAGCAGTATTTTAAGAAGCACAACACACACATTTACCCTGGGCATTCTTAAGATTTAAGATTCAAGAAAGCTGAATCGTCTACAAAGCTTCTGCAGCAACTGCCTCTCAACAGTCAGTGAAACTAAATCAGAATTCTGGTTTAGGCTTTTATGTGAAGCACTTTGTATCTGACAATAAATTATGTAAATTTATCTAGTTCATGGGTATTTCTAGACTATATAACAGTAAGTACGGGCCAAGAAAGGGGCTGTTCACAGGCCATCCCTTGAACTGTATCCAGGCATTGGTCTGGGAAGTCCTAGCTGCCTGGACCAGAACCAGGTCAGGGACTGATAATGATACAATCATATGACAGTGCTTTAGCTGGTCCTGTGTCCTAGCTCTGTTTAGTTTATGACTACAGAAACAGCCTTACAGTACAGTTTTCTAATTGTACTTTGCAACGTTATTTCACTCTTCTACTGTCCTCTTCATGATATTTGGGTAACATAGTTCATCAAACCAAAGAAGTCTAATAAAAATAAGAAATCTGAATATATACATATGAATAAAGATTTATGGACTAAAATCCCCAACCTCCTATTGTAAACTGTACAACAGAACACTATATAAGTAATCCTTAACTTCTTAATGAATAGAAGACTGCACTAGAGAATTGCAGTTATGAACAGATCACTGTGTACACCAAATAATAAGATTTTATAATTTACAGTAACTTGTTGATATTGAGGATTTGCCTACTAGGCACCATTTAGGACATTTATTGCATGTATAATTTATTTACAGTAAAGAATATAGAAAACACACAATTATTGATATACAAGTTAATAAAATAGTTTCATTATTGATGACACTGGCAGACCAAATTTAGCCCTAGTCTTACTCCACTGAAAGTACTACTGTTGCAGCAGAAACAAATTTGCTCTGGTGTGTGCTATTGTTTAGATAACTATTCTGATCATAGGTTGCCTACCTGTGATGCATCTTGGGGGAAAACTGCATCGAAAGCAAACATCTTGGGTGGAACCTGGTTGCCCCTTTTCTGGAAAGCGTTCTGACCTCCACAGGCCAATGGGTCATACAGCATGATTTGCTTCTTACGAGGGTCAACTTTTAAGAAAGAGCTGGACTCAGATGTGTCTCTGGCAAGCGTGGAAGAAATGCGCACCATGACTTTGACCTATCAGCAAACACAAAAAAAGATGACCACATTTGATTAGTCTGTTGGATGCTCTAGACTGGTATGTTGAATGAACTTTCCAATTACACTTGACCAAATCATACTTGCTTGCTGTAGCTAGTGTCTCAGTGGAAGTCAGTGAAGACGCAGGAATTACTATAGGCAGAATTTGTCCTAAAATACACAGTGAATAAAGCCAGAACTCATCTCCAACTACTTCAACAAGCACCTTGTGTATTTAGAATTACAAGGTACATCATAGTGTTTTAGTGTCGATGTTACTCAAGTACAATGATGAGGTATTACATCACCTTGTCTTACTCTCAATATAAATTGAAAATTAACTGTACCCCAGTGGCCTGATTAAGAAAGCTGAAAGGTAATCTAGACTGCTAAACTATCAGAACTGCTGCAGTTTCTACAAAGCAGTCTGATCAATCAAAGCATATAAAAGCCACATCTGTAATTTACACCTTTCTGATTCTAAACCAAATAGAAAAAGATGAAGTGCTCAGTTCTAAGTGTCATCATCACAGTTGTGAAAAGAGCCCTGTTTTAATGGTCAGATTTTGAAATTATCGTCAAGGGAGTGAAATGTAATAAGCGATAAAAGATTTGTTACAACATGTTAGCTCACGACTCATTAAATGGCTACATAATAAGATGTTATTCCTAAAACAAAAATACATCTTCATGGATTTAATGATGTTACACTGCATCCTTAGCCCAGTTGGTAAGCAATTTAGATGTAAGTAAAACTGCTGACAATCCATCTGGCTTTATTTCTCCCCATAAATTCACCACCTGCAGACACATGAGTTCCTGAACTTCACAGGGCAAACACCACCTCTCTGCCAGCTATTGCCGCTGGCCACACCAGCACGTACTTTGTCCTAGAGCTGACTGACTTTCACACCAACCAGACAAAACTTTTATCTTAATGCCCCTTAACTGTATGCCATTTGTATCAAACCCACCCAACGCTGGCATGAAAGTGACCACAAAGGGTCACCTTAGCACAGGGTGGAAGCACATCTGCTGTAGGAATGGCAGATGCACCCTGGGAGGAGGTTGTAGCCCTAAAAGTTAGACAAGGCTGCAGTTCCTGTCGACCTCACTAAGACTGTTGCTCTTTGAATATAGATCTCATTTCATTCTGGCCTAAGCTCATCCCACATGCAAATAAATCAGTTGCTTTGAGAAGTAAAATCTGGGCAAATTCATTTTTGACACAACTCCAAAGAAAACAGAATGACACCAGAGATTAATTTGGATTATTCAGTATTTTTGTGATGTCTTCTCTATATGTCTGTGAGTCAAAGTGGTAATTTGACTCCACATATTTTAACCTGGGAAAACAAGTTGTCATTAGATGGCAAAATGGTCACAAATCTGTGTACATTATTTCAGTTTTACACTATTAGTTGAGGGAAATAGGTATAATATTGCTTGGGTGTGAATAGGTTCTCTTCTCAACTGCTTATTCGAGTTGCTTATGAAACCTAACCTCTAACTGAAACAAATCACTGCCAATATTTTGCCAGAGGCATTCTTCTAAATCTAACCCTAAGCAGAGCTGATTCCTATTGAGGACAAAGTCAGCCAACACCCTTGGTCAGCCCACATGAACTGGGCAAGGTTTCGATGTTTATTGCAGCCCTAGGTCTCCCAGCAGCTCAGAGGGGAGGCACTAGTCAAGTTAGCAGCAAAGGGAGGGAGTACAACAGTGTAAATCCTGGAAGACCAAGACAACAAAGAGGAATATCAGTCTTGATGGGTTTTCCATTCTTCAACTTTGGATGCCTTTCGCTTTTTCTACTGTGTCCCACATTTTTAAATAGATTACAATATCAAGAACATTAGACTGATCTGATGGAAACCAAAATGAATGCTTGTTATTCTTCAACTGTTCTAAATAAAATACTTTCTCTGCTTTAAAAATCTATTTCCCTATAAGTTTATGTGTATTTTTGGCTGCTGTGAGTCCATGTCCTCCACATCCTTGATCCTTGTGTGCAAAGGAGAGTTAACTGAATACCCTGGGGCTAAGTTTCTTTGGGTTTTGGAGAATGGCTAGTGCGTGAAATCTAACAAACCTGCATATACAGGCAGTCTAAGAGTTCTTTCTGGCCTCAAACTGCATGGGCATTCAGTTTTAACTTCACCTACACCATTTTTGTTACCGTATAATATCCCTGGCTTAGGTCCTGCTTTAAACCTGTTCACACAAAATCAGATTAATACCTGTCACTTCTCACTGAACTAATACCACAAATCCTCCTAACTTCCAACAGCTATAGTGATAGAAGCTGAGGCATCAGGTTTCTCTTCCTCTGGAGTAAAAGACCAATTTAACTGAAATCCTAAAAATTTACTACCATCAGATAAACTGAATGAACCACTATAAAAAAAGAGCTCAACTCAGAAGTCCCAGAAGTTGTCTAACAACATACATTTTCTGACCATTTGGCTCCTCAACTCTGGCAAATATAGACATATCTCAGTGAAAATACTACTATTACCATGAACCTTTGTATTTCCTGTGCACTGGGCATTTTTGTTTTGAGACTTAATGGTTCATAGAATCACTTAGGTTGTGAAAGACTCATAAGATCACTGAGTCCAACCGTTAACCTAACACTACCATGTCCACCACTAAACCATGTCACTAAATGATACATCTACATAGAATCATAGAATCATTTATGTTGGAAAAGACTACATTAATGTGCCTTACGGCAGAGGAATACCATACTGATTACATGTGGGTATCCTGATAGCAGGGCCACTTACTCTGAAGCTAGTATATCTGCAGCTGGCATAAAGATGTCTGTGCACCTTGGTGCAGCTTATCATGGGTAATTCCTCTCACCTCCATTTAGACCAGCCTGCAGGAGCTGTCCCCATCAAAGCCAGTTGTCTGACCCCTTTGTAGATAATCAACAGGCACTTCTAGCACTTAATTCATGTGGTCTGTTTGATAGACCTGCCTTCCAGATAAGTTGAGTTGCACTCCACAAATACTTCTTGGTTTCTCTATACAACCACAGACATCTTAAACGATTCCCTGAGATGCAGGTGCCTAAAGTCTAAAGTTATTCTTTTTGCTGTAAGCATAATAAAAATGCTTTCCTGGGTAGCACAGTCCCTGGCCCAAATTCAGTAGTGCAGACAAATCTATGTTCAGCAAAAATCATGTCCTAGCAAAAATAAAGACGGGTGCATGAGTGTGATGGACACTGAACACAGGTAGTAGCAACAGATTATTTGAACTCATTTGGCAATTTTTAGACCCTAGAGTATTCTTCCAGGCCAATTTCACATCAGTGTAACTCCTTCAAATTACTCTCGATTTACATTACATTAATTGAGAAGACACTTAGGTCCTAGCCATGCAAAATACATGTTCACTGTATGCCATGGGAGCTATGACTATAGCAAAAACCTAACAAGCAGGCAATATATGGGCAAACCAGCCCTGAGAAACACATACTGGGATTCAGAACTGCATACATAACTGTGGCACAAAAAGCTAGGCAGATCAAAACAGATTTTAAAATATCTGAGCTAGATGTATCTTCTGAGGAGATTGGCAGGCTTGCAGTCTGGGAGTCAGACAGAGATTTGGGAGCTAGGACCCCTCCTAAAGGCTGTGCCTTAGAAGCAGTACGATTGTGAACTAGAGTGATACAATCTCTGTTTTCCTCTCTGCACCCGTGCAAAGGGCTGAGCCACAGCTTACTCCACTGCAAGCATACGGATACATTCAGTCATTAACGGGCTCAAAGGACTGGCAGTTGCCATTAGGTAGGCACTCCATTATTAAACGTTATTATGCATGTAACCTAAACCCAAGGAGTCATGCAAAGCATTTTCCAACAGTAGTTATGACAAGAGTAAATCAACTAAGCTACAGCAGTAGAAACGATGGGAGACGACGGCCTCCTGCTCTGCCATTTCACAGTCCTTCATGCAATTTACAGCTGGGGCGTAGCAGGGGGAGGCTCAGAGTCCATGCTGGCCCCTGCAATCCACGCCACGGGGGAGGCAACACGAGGATGGGCAAACGTAACTCAGACAGCTATGGGGATAGCACAGGAACCTAATGGAGCTAAAAGACTTCAGTGCAATTTAAGGAACACAGGCTGAAGATCACAGTGCTGTTTTGGGCAAGACAGAAATACAGTACAGTTGATTTGAAACTAACTGAACAGTGAAGTTTTAAGAACTCTAATACTTTATGCTTGCCATTTATATTTAAATAAACTGCAAACTGAACTTCTCTTTAAAAAGAAGAAAGCAAGTTTTCTGCTTCAATTCCTATGTGTCATTACTCCTTTAGTCCAATGCTACACTTTCCCACTAATCTCTTGTAATTGAAGGGTTTAAGAGATACCACTTGCAATTAATGGGACCACTCAGTCTGCCAGAAATTCTTATTTGAATCCCAGTGATCAGGTCTTGGCAGCGCCCAGCCTTAGACGCACCTCTGACTGTTTCTACAGGGAAACATGAAAGCAGTCTCTTGAGACACGTGCTGTTGGTAAAACAAATAACCTGGGCCGAATTTTGATCTAATTTTACACTTAACGCAACTCAGCAAGAATTACCCTAGCTTAAGAGTGGAGAGAGGGAATAAAAGAAAAGGTCACTTGCTCTGCATCATTATTGTGTCTTTTCTAGGATATAACTTCACCTCTTAATTCTGCTCATGCTGGAAGCATTTTTTAATGTGTTTTCTCCAGTGAGTTCACAGGATTTCATTTGACAACTATTCAATCCAACAAGAACCCCATTTAATTCTCTGGATTTCAGTTCCTGCCTACAAAGATTTGTTCTGTTCTTGAATGCATGCTACAGTCATTGAATTCCACAATATTACTCCTGATGTCCAATGCCACAAACGAAAGCAGAATCAGAGCTGCACTGTTTAGGTTTCCTCAACAAGGCTTCTTTATATTTTTGTCTATGTATTTAATGTATGCATATATATCTGGGTG